AATTCATGGCATTTCACAGATAATAAAGAAAAGGAATCTTCGAAGACCGCCTACGCCATGAAAGAAGGTGGCATTAAGAACATTTTATTGAAAGTTTTATGTAACAATAAAAAATTAGATTTTAGAGTTTATAGTTAACCAACTAACAAAAACGATCTAATTAATTTCTATTCCAACCACAGTCAAAACATAAAATCAGGATTAGTTATAGGATTCTAACTTAGAAGCTTTCGAGTCTCTAGTCCAGAATACCTAGGTGAAGAAGGAAAATACATCGAAAAAAAATTAGGCTTATTCACTACCCGTATAATTTCATTCTAAACGCTAGAAACGAACATACAAAGTCCACAAATCCCCAAAAAACTAGACATCCTCGATATCACTTCTAACATTAACAACACAAAATCCATAATCTTACACTATTTTACAAAATTTTGTAAATAAATTAGTTTTTCCTAATACTAGGGTTTTTATCACTAGCACCAAGACAATCGGAGATATAATTAGGAAAAAAATTCCAACACCATTTCAGATGTCCGTATTTATCAAATAAATTGATCACAATGTAAAAACACTTCGGCAGGACATTTCGGGACCCAAAACCACAAATCTATAAACGTAAAAGGATTTTACGTTGAAACAACCATTTAAATTCACTTGTAATACACAAGAACAAAACTGGCCATAACTTTGATTTTACAAATGCCACACTAATTAAAAAATAAAATAATTCTTTACGCTGAAAATACTTCGAGGGAATACGGATAAATATTTTACCAACAACAGACACACGTCAAAAACGCTTTATTACATCACCAACATTTATTAAATCCATTCTTAAAGAATCTAATGCGTGTTTATTTACCACAAGTGTGTTTACGGGAAAACAACGCCAAATCAACATGAGAATAACCAGCAAATATAAATAATGTCTACCAGATATACAAGCACAAACACTTAAGAATATACATTATAAGCTGAATTCCAATTAGAAAAAATAAATTATGATACAATTACATACATAAATTAATATTTAAGCTTTTTCAGTTGAACTTGGAATCCGTTAATTTTTGGGTAATTGAAAGGAACGCGTCGTCTCTTCTTGAGTTCGGGACGCCACAAATTGTACTAACGTTGCTTAACATTTTAAATGCACGTGAAACCTGATCAACCAATGAAAATCAAATAAAACAAAAATAAGAGAATTTCTTTTATCGTTTGCCTTCTCCGTTTCTCATTCTCTGAACAAGCTTTAATAAAAGTGAAACATGTTAGATTTTTGTCGGATTTGATCCCTATTTGAGCTGTACCTGATTCCAGTCCGTTCTCTCTCTCTCTCACACACACACACACACACACACACACACACACACATATATATATATATATATATATATATATATATATATATATATATATATATATATATCGACGCTACGAGATAATAAATATTAGTGTCCTTAATGATAAGAAATTTGCTATTATGTAACGCATTTATATAACATAAACCTATACTCAATGTCAAATTGACACTGCTATTATAATGATAAAAACTATTTAAGAAGAAATGCAAGCGCGATTGTCAGTGTAACCTTAGCTGGAAACGTCAGTCTTGTAAAAATTGTCTAATAAATTATTTACATCATGTTTTTATTGTTTTCATTATTGTTTTTTTTGTTTTGTTTTTATCTTGGTTACTCTTGTTTTTCCTTCCATAAAATCATTTCATGTTGAACTGAAACTTTTGAAACTGTCAGCTGATCTAAAACTCCTTGTACACAACAATGAGATTCATATCTTGAGGTCATGTGGATATCAATTTTTTTAAAGCATTCATTGTTTTTTTATGGTCATTATTTCCTCTTATGTGTTCCTTTCTTTACCTTGTTCCATGTCAACCTGACCTAAAACATCAAATCTCAACGGATCTGATATTTCAGACTTGCAGATAATGACAAAAGAGTCATGCTTAGTTTTACACTTATTCGCAAATAAACACATATGCAAACATGTTATTTTGCTCCCTTTGACGCCTGTCTGCCGGGATTTGAACTTATTTAAAGATCTTGAATTTTGAGGACTAAATTTGGAACATAAGTACAAAGGTCAACTGAAAGGTTCGTAGGCTGACCAAGATACTCTTATGGAATGTGACTAAATTAGGTTTATGTTTCAACATCGTCCCCGGTGTTCACACACTTCTTCCATCGATGTTGCAGTGTTTGGTTCTAATTGGTGAAGAAGCTTTCATCCTGTTGGTCAAAATTCATCATATAACGTAATCCTCACTGTGAAACTGGTTCCCCGTCGAGGTTTTTTCATGTTGGGGAACAGATGATAGTCAGATGGGGCGAAATCATGAGAGTAAGGAGGTTGATCAATCATTTCAAAGAAAAAGTCATGCACAGTTGCCATTGAACCAAAGGGCTTGTGTGTTGGAGCATTGTCCTGATGAAACAAGACCCCATTCATCGGTTTCCTTGGGGGTCTGGTCTTGACAACCTTTTGTAACGCCCATAGAAAGTTGGTATAACACTATCCATTGAAGCTCTTTTCAAGTAGTCAGTAAGAGCTATACCTTTTACATCCTCCAAAACTGAGGACATCACATTCACGGTAAAAGAAAGGACCTTAGCCATCTTTAGAGCAGGTGAATGAGGGGTATTTTCAGTGCATAGATTGTCTTTGGCTCAAAGTGATAAATTCAACATTCATCTGGGTTTAAGAAGCGTTCAAAGAAACCAGCTTGATCTGCCTCAAACAATATCAGATTTCTCCGTGATATGATCGGTATAGCGCGCCTTTGATCAGGTGTCGGAAGACGTAGCAACCAGCGAGCATATCACCCTTCAACATACCTTCGAAACCTTCGTCATACCAAATTCCTTGTGCAAAATATTCTCAACTCTCTTATTGGACATGCTAATATGCATTGGCTATTTGATTTATAGTCAATCACCTGTCAGCCATCATCATGTTGAACATGATCAAGGTTTTCCTTGGTGATGACAGTTGTAGGATGACCAGACCTTACGTTATATTCAAGGATCACCCTTCCCTCCTAAATTCAGCTGCCCACATTTGCACTGTTGATAAAGGTGGCGTGTCATCCTCTAATGTAGCAATCATGTTAGCATGAATTTACTTGGGGATAAACGCTTTTTTCTATAGGTACTTGATAACACCAAAATACCAAATTTTATCCATTTTCAAGAGAAGTCGCTACTTCATTACTTTTGAAGTTTTCTTTGGTTAGTCAAGTGTCATGTTACTTGGAAATAAATAATACAGTTATGAAGAAGAGTTAAAATTAATGCATGCAACATTTCACAGCTCTAGTATCACTCTTTCATAGTCATCTTATGAACTTTTCAGTCCACCCTCTTACCTAGAAAGAAACTATGCTGTTACTAATAAGAAGAGTTGAAATGAACGCATGCAAGATTTTATATCAAAACGGATGCTTGGTGCATTACAAACTTCTTAACCCCATTTTTCTAATCTAAAGGTGTGTCAAACAAAACTAATTTTAGTAAATATTACAATATACAGTTTATACAAAATAATTTATAGAATAACACCTGAATATTTTGAATAAGTTGGAAAATTAAAAGTGTGGGTTAAAGTCATTATTCGAAGACTATCATCGTTCAATAGACGTCTAAGCGAGTGATTCTCAACGTGGTCCAGATGGACCACCGGTGGTCCACATAGCATTTCTAGTGGTCCACAGAGAATTCGTAGCCATAAAAAATTGTAGCCATTTCACAAAAACGGATCTAAATTATTCATACTTTGAAGAATTAAAATAATATATTTTATTTAACTACACACATCTCCATAATATTTGAAAATTTTTAAATTACGTAGGTATTATGCAGTGTTATATTTATTTTATTTTTTATCATATATATTTATTATATATATATATAATAAACATTATATATACTATATATAATATAAATGTTTTATTCATATAAAAATTACTTCTATCAAAATTGATTTTGATATCCTGTGTTTATCCTTGTTTACTAAAATAAAATTTAAAATGTAAATAGACTACTTTGACTTTTCATTGAGTATTTTAGAGTGCACATTGAACAGCCTAAAAGTAAAAGTAGGAGTCGCCCATTTGAATTTTTGTAGGAAAAATGGTCCATGAGCTGAAAAAGGTTGAGAAGCATTGGTCTAAGCTATTCCTCATTATCACTTTGGGAACATTCAAGCTCGTAACAAGTCACATCTAATATTATCATCCATTGTATAAATATTAAGGGATGAGAATATGAGGTCATGGACAAAATCATTATACACCGTGCGAATATCTTGATTTGTGAAAGCGAGAGGGCAAAACAGAAAAGAAATCATCATTAGTTCTGCGAATATGGAGGCTCGTGACAAGGGTAGTCCATGGTCGCCATTTTTATTTATTCTGCAAATATCCCAAGTTTGTGACTACTCGACGTCCTGATGGCTACGTATATTAACCAGAAGATGTCATCTAAATCTCATCGTGTAACTGTATCTTATACTTTTCTGAATATCAACAGGCCACAGTCTATGGTTTTAAATAGGAGAATTCACAGACAAGGGAAATAACTCAATTGTATTTTTGAGTTATCGTCGTTCTACCCACAATTTGGTATTAAAGTAAGACCTAGGAATTATCAATGATTAAACTTTTTACAAAAATAACAACTAAAACCGTAACGTCAGTTGTTGTTAAACGTTAATATCTGAACAGAGCCTGATTATGGTTGTGTATATACATGTTACACTCCACTATGCGTCTATTCTAATTAATATTTTCCGACTATGTATATATTCTTATTTATTTCATATTTATTTAGCTATTTTCTTTTATTTTTTCTACTACCACAATTATAGTCGTCGTTATTATTATTATTATTATTAACCTATAGTCACGGATATTATCTCTTCTATGTGCATATTCCCATTTTGTCATCATTGTTGTTGTTATTATTATTTGTATCATTAGCTTACGACCATATCGCATTGAAATGATGGTTCTTGTACGATCACTGAAGTTAAGCAACGTCGAGCATGGTTAGCGCCTAGATGGGTGACCGCTTGAGAATACCAGGTGCTGTAAGATTGAACTTGGAGTGATGTAATGAATAACGGCCAGGAATTGCAAAATCGGAAAACCGAGTTCCAATTCCAGTCAGGTTTGTTATATTCCCTTATATGGCAATGCCCTTCGGCAAAGTATGAATCCCCCTCTTCTCTCTCGTTATGGGTTAATTAGTAAGACATGTATCAGTAAATATTTAATATCTCCAAAATATTCTTAAAATCTAAAAATATTTGATTTATTAGCCGTAAAAACAGTCAATTATTATTATTATCTGTTATTTCTGTTGCGTACTCTTTTTCTTCCGGGTCCTAACCAGAGACCTAAGGACAGAAATGACATCATGTCATCTTGGCATTTTCATCGAAAACTTTAACCAGGGCCCCAACTATGACTAGAATTACTGATATCTTCCTATGCATTGTTGTTGTTGTTATTATTATTATTATTATTATTATTATTATTATTTCCTTTGATTTCTGAGATATACTCATTTCTTTCCGGGTTCCAACCAGAGACCCAAGGTCAAGAATGTCATCATGACATTTTCCGAAGAGCTTTTTTGGAAAAAAGCAACCCCAAAACTAATATCACACACATTTTACGTAGATAAATCCCTTCGTAATGTGTGAGTTGTACTTGTGAGTACAGTTTTTCGTATTTCAGAACATTTTCCAGTCAAACTGATTGCTTTGTACTTCAAGATTCTTATATTTTGATAGATTTTTTGAAGATCTTCTAAGGTATATTACAATATGCAGGAACTGCTATGTCAATAAGAAGGCATATTCTGTTTTTGGGGGTCATTTGGCGATTAGCTTCGTTAAAGTCCCAGAAAATTCTTCAGATCCTATCTCTGTAACCGGTTATTTGTGATGTTCATACCAAATTCTTGGTTTCTTTCCCGTAAAATTTGCAGATATTCAAGAACCGATATTGGCTCATTTATTTATGCTGACTTTTATATCAATGGGTGCTAACATCATACAACCTGATGCATGATGGTCAATTGTTTCTGGGCATTTATCACAGAATCTTCATTTCGGATTTGCATAGATGTGTGCTTGGTAATTTCTAGTCAGCTGCCATTGCTCCTGAGCAGTAAAAATAAAGCCGTTCTGTTTCGGCTTTTTTCTTCATGAACTTGTTGGCACGGGCAGAGTCTATAGACTACGAAGCAGCTTATCTTGACATCGTTTAAGAATTTAGTACATTACATTTGTTTTTTCTTACATTTTTTGATCTTTGCCGTTGCAGTAAGTGTATTAAGGTTTATTTACACTTCACCCACTTTAAATTCCATTTTAAATTCCATTTTGAATTTGTTGGCTTCCTTCATTACTGAATTTCTTATTTTTCATGTTCTTTGACACAGATCATTGTTCAGTCTTCTATAGTTTTCAGGTATCTTTGAAGACCGATTTTTGTGGGTTTTTTTAAGACAGTTTTAGTTGAACAAAATCCTCTGCCTTCTTAGGATCTGGACATATACAGACGTTCGACATCAGTCTTAGGATGATGCATGCGGTGCTAAGTGGGAAGCTTTCTCGTTTGACATCCATTCGCTTAATGTCAGCTATGATCCAATTAAGGATGTTGAAACTGTGTTGCACCACAGGGACAGCCATATCTTTGCTACGACACCCTTTCTCTTCCAGGGGAGGAATATTGTTTTCATCGAGAAAACAGTAAGTACAGTTCGTCAGGACAAACATAATCAATTTATATCTGGTGGACAGACATGTTATTGGCCTATAATGATTTGGATCATGTGTTTCATCATTTTTTGGTAGGAGATTTGTAATAACTTCAGTAACTCATTCTGGAATGTCATTGGCGTTATTAATTAGCATTGATAAAGATTCCATAAAAAATTATGGAACAGTTAACAGATGATTGAGCTAAATTTTGGGTACCTTTTCATTTCCCGGAGATTTCTATTTTGAGGAGTTATATTATTACTATTCTTATTATGACTATTATTATGATATCATTATTGCTTTTGTTTAATACTTTCCATCTTGTATCTTCACATATTCTATCACATAAACCGTTATTAGCAAACTATTAGCAAACTACTGAGACAAGTAGGAAAAGAGCTTTCACCCTCGTGCCACTCTTAGAGTTGGCATCATCTGACAGGAGTGTATCGGTCGTGTTAGACTAAATAATTTTGAATGGATTCCAGTCCAAGGATTTAGTTAGCAAATATTTTCAAAGATACTGTCAATACCCAGTTCTTTATAATGACTGAGATAGACGGAAGTATTTTCGACTATTTCAGTACTTAAAAAAAAACAAGATAAAACATGAATTTTATATCTTTTAGTTATAAATTTAATCGCTATATGTATTAATATGTATAAAGTTTGAAAAATATAATAAACATTTAAACAGACATTGCCAGGTGAATTTTACGAACATGTCTGGATTAGTTTTTGCTGCCTAAATACACCTTATACTTATATATATATATACATACATACATATATATATATATATATATATATATATATATATATATATATATATACACACACACACACACACACACACACACACATATATATATATATATATATATATATATATATATATATATATATATATATATATATATATATATATATATATATATATATATATATATATATATATATATATATATAATATATATAGGCGATAGTTTGTTTCATGGTTAAAAGGCAGGCCATAATGGATGCGTTTACGCTTAAGTATGAAATAGACAGTTGCCGCTGGGTGTTTTCCTCAAAGTCCACTTTATATTTACATATTCTCTATCTCTGATATTTAGCGTTTTAACCCCAAAATATAGCATACCTTAAAACTATATTTTATTATATGAGTGTTTATGTGTGTGCATGTGCGTATGTGTATATATTAATATTATAATTTATGCATCATCACTGATAACATAATTTTGTTTAACCCAAATTTGGCCAAATTACTTCCCCTTCTCCTTGCCTACTGGATAATCAAGTTGTACGCACATCGGCATTTTTACATAAAAACATTACTAATAAAAAAAAAAAAGAAAGATTGCAAACGTTCACCTATGTACATCTACTGTCAGCTTAGGACATAAGAGGTGCGACATTCTCGCTGGGATTTTTAAGTGCCGTCATATGAATTGTAAGTGAAAATGAATTCATTTGTATTTCTGTCTTTTATATTTTGATGTCGTTGTCAGTTCATTTCATTTATTTTCTTCTTTATTCTTCCATTGTTGTTTTCATTCAATATTAAACATGAATACAAAATATATTTTGATAGTTGTGTTGCTGAATAATCTGTTAAACAAGAGGTACTTATAATTAACTAACAATGCGTACTCCCTATGGAACACACCGACCGAGGAGGGATAACCCTGATCGTGGGACCCACACTGTGCTTTTTGACACGTGTTATCTTATCAACATTTGTATACAATACCAATTAAACTAAGCACAACTGTATATTAAAGGATGAAAAATTTCGCGAATTTGACGACATTCTGGTGCCTTTTTTACCGAATATTTTTTGTTGATCCTAACTCTCGAAAAACACTATATAAAATTCGTTATTTTTTATCCATAACGTTGAATATATTAAATTATTAAACATTTGACAAGAAAAATCTCAAGTGTACGTTAAAAATGTCTCAAAACATTGTTGCTTTATTTAAGAAGGAATAATCTGTTATGATATAACTCTAATTTGTATTTAGATATTTATTCTCATTTTTTCGAGGTGAATTGTTCACCTGTATTGCATACGATTCATTATTGTACATAATTAGATTACAATAAAATTTGTATTTCTATGAATGCATTGTGAAAATAGAGACGTAGAAGGGTGAGGAGCCCTCTATCATAGAAATGGGGGCATCATAGATTTGGGACGGAGAAGGAGAACGAGACACTGGCACCATTCTTGCTTTGAACGATCGTGTGTAGCTTTTTATCAATTAAGCGACTTCATGAAAAAAGTTATATACATTTTATTGGCAATCCTTTTAAAACATATATACGGTTGGTATAGTTTGGTATCCCCTAGCAGAAACCTAAATTCATTTTCATACAACTAAAGACTTTGGTCATAAATAAACTCCCATCGCAGCCCATCTCTCTTTAGAGAGATACTTCACGCCCTCCCCTTGTCACCAACCCAGACTTCTTATCTCATGATTCCAGTACAGTCAGTCTAGGGGTGAAGAAAACTGTCATAAGGTTGTGCCGGTTTGAAATAGACTATACCCACATGAGGTAATTTTGGATTTGTTTCTATATAATATATGCTCTGTTATTATAAGAGAGCATATATTATATAGCAAAAGCAAAATTGAGCTCTCTCTGTGGATCAGTTTTAATATCTGATATTACTAGGATTCACCTGGATTATATAACAACGAATCTATTACCTGTATTATATATATATATATATATATATATATATATATATATATATATATAAGTGAACATAGACGTCAACAGTTAGAGGCGACAGTCTGTTTCATGCTAGATGCAATCGTCAGACCACGAATGCTGTTATTTTTCTCGGCTATTTATATATACGGGTCAGTGGTGCATTGTGGGTAGTCTGTTTTGGCGGTTATTTTATCGGAACTCGTTTTTTTGTTTATTTATTTATTTGGGGTAAATTATTTTACTTGTTTTTTATTTTTATCTATTTTTATTTTTTATCTTATATATTTATTTATTTTTTTAAATTTTTATTTTAATCCATGTTTTTATTAACGTAGTAAAAATTTGTTTATATCTCTTATTTAATAGTTTTGTTTTGGTTTGGGAAGATACGTAAAGCTATTTATTCAATTTTTGGGGTTGATTGTTGTAATTTATTCTAACTATTATTTTGGCGGGAACAATTTTTTAATTTGTTTATTACTTATCTGGATTGATTATCTTTATTTGTTTTTTTCTAACGGTTAGTTTATCGGGATCATTTTGTTAGTTTATTTATTTATTTTGGATTATTTAAAGAGAATAAAGTTAGGA